AAATTGGATACAGATTTGTCTGTAATAAACGCGATTGGTCATTATATACCCTCAGATAGAGTATGACATTAAAGAACAAAAAAAAAGAGAGTGAGCGCACAAACGTCAAATATATTCTGTATAAAAATACTACATACAGTGACTCACACGATTGTGCATTAGCAAAAAATGCATTACTTCAAAAAGTGCAAAAAATGAGTGGGTTTTTATTTTCTCCTTCGAAAGCTAAAAATACCGTACTATTAAATTAAATAAAAAATGATTCATTTATTTATTTATTTACTTATTTATTTATTTATTTATTTATTTATTTATTCATTTATTTATTTATTTATTTATTTATTTATTCATTTATTTATTTATTTATTTATTTATTTACTATGCATCTAGTAAATAAATTGTGTACTCTTGAATTCTCGAAATTATCTACCTTTTTAATTAAAAGGTTGTTATTAAATGACCTAAATTAAAAAAAAATAATAATAAATTAATGCACAATTTTTCCACGTCACATTTTTCTAAATCTATTTATTTATTTATTTATTTATTTGTCTACTAATTTATTAATTAATTTATTTCATTCATTTGTTTATTTATTCATTTATATATTTATTTTTTTATTTTTTTACTATGCATCTAGCAAATAAATTGTGTACTTTTGAATTCTCGAAATTATCTACCTTTTTAATTAAAAAGTTTTTATTAAATGACCTAAATTTAAAAGAAAACTAATAAATTAATGCACAATTTTTCCCCGTCTTTGAGCGAAAATATATGCCTGAGCTAAAGAAGCAACACTGCCATTTGAGTGAAACGACAGGCGATTCACACAGAGACCGACAGCGATTGGAAATGTCTGCTAGTAAACATATTTGTGGTGTCGGATCGTGAAGTATATGTAAAGCGGTTACGGAAGAGTCGACGCCGGTACTAAGTGTTAAAGGGCTTCCATAATTATATATTCTAAGTAATGCCGAAAACTTAAAATTTTCCAATAATTTTTGCATGTAAAAAGCAAATCTTAAAGTTTGAAATGTGATTTGTATTTGGTTTGCGCTAAATTAAATATATGTAAGTGAGGTATAAAACGATCGTTGGCTACGACAAACAAACACATATGTATGTATGTACGTACCTGCATAAAAATTTATATAAATGTAGTAAACACGTATGTATTTTTGTTAGTGCTTTTGTTGATAAATCCAATAAACCGCCGTTCGCATTGTAGGTGTGTGCGTGCCCAATGGAACAAATTGTGCCGGTGTGAGTGTATCTGTGCGACATTGCTGCGTGAATCATCTGTGAGTGATATAGAAATGGCAGAAATACTAAGGGGGAAAAAAATAAATTTAAATGATTATAAATAATTTTTTGTTAAACAAAACAGAAATCTGCTTAAAGTAACATAAACATACCGACAACATTAATAATTTTGCAAGCAAATCATAGTATAGCTGCTGACACAGAATAGCGACATTGGTGTTGTCGTTGGATTTTAATATGTAAATTAATAGTATGCACAAGCGGCCGTTCATAGGAGTAGTGCGTGATAAGTGTTAAAGTGTTGTATATACATATTTACATATGTATGTAGTTATGTACATACTTTTTAACGAGTGGTATAATTTTTTGTGGTATTAACGGAAATATTTGCAACAAAGCGTGGACCGACGAGAGTTAACAAAAATATGCGAAAAACTGGATGAGTTTATGACCACAATAACAAACAACAATACTGTGTCTCTTTATTACGCGAAAGTTGAACAATTAGCGACTGTGCCTGCGCTGAACCAAGAAGTAAATATTCAAGTTGATGGAGATTTGTGCCATTTAAAAAGGTAAATTATGTACATCATACATATCGTTACCTTACTATAGGAAGACCCTAACTCATATAGTCGCAGTACTGCTTTTTCTTTTGAAAATTGGGAGGGTTAAACGTCATTTTTGGTATATAGTTTGTTCGCCATTTTTGCTTAGAATTAATCGTACAATTTGAATTTGTTATACACTTTCTTAAAAAATTTTGCTCCGAACAAATTACTCCGCCCTAATGTAAATGTACCTACTAATTTCGAGCTAAAACACTGGTGAATTCATAATAAGCTAGTTAACAATCGTGACAAGACTCTAATATGTATGTATGTATATATGCACAAGCTAGTGTCAGTCAGTCGGAGTTAGGGAGTGGGTGTAGCTGCTAAATGCTTCTAAATGTTTGCTGCAACATTTGAAAGGTTTGCAGTTTTAAGCCAAGTCTTTGCTTCGCTGCCTCGTTTCTACCTCTGTACATTTGCACATAACTACCAACTAATTTACGAAGCATATATAAATAGGTACCCTGCGGGAAATGTATCTAACTACCTATAAGTTAACTTGAAGTTCATTAGGAAGGAACTAAAGGTCACTAGTTATTATCTGTATATTTTCTTTGAGGAGAGCTAGCTATATTTGTGGGCGGTTACCTCTGCATTTGATGTCAACTAACTTGTAACTAACTAATTTTGGTCATAAAATATCAATAACAAAAACAAAATATTTCTTTGTGTTTCTTTTTAATATTTTTATTTATTTACTTTATTTTATTACATTTCATATTTGTTTACATATTCTGCTGTAGGTGGTCCCATATTCAAACTCCGTCAGACATAACTTCAAGATCATAATATACAATTTCGATCTTCCTTTTATTTGTCCTCAATTCGAAAAAGTATTTGTGAAGTGCAGAAAGAAGGTGTATTTAAAGTAAAATTTGAATGAGGATATTTAAATAGAAACTTGTTTAAAGAAAACAATCTCCCGATTACGTCTGCATTACTTTTCAACTAGTTTAAAGTTAGCTTTTTGTAGCTAACCACAAGTTATATATTTTATAGAAATCCAACAATAAAGCTAACTACAAGTTGGCTATTTTTATCAATTTTCTATTTTTTCTGCAGGGTACACACATATGGATGTATGCATATAAATTTTGTACACATATACAATACATATCGACGGTATTTTGCAAATCTCGCATCTCAGGAATCGCTACTACCTCGTATCTTGTAAAATGTATTCAAAATAGGCCTAGGATTCATTATATTTAAAATTACCGAATCTAATATTCCTATCAAAAAGTTATTAAAAATGATGATTAATAAAGTTTTATTTTCATTAGAGTGTATTTTGAGATACGAGGTTTTGCCAAATTACCGTCGATGACTTCTTTTCTCACCACTACGCATCTCGTGGCATTGTCTGCGCTTCAAGCAGTCTGACGACTTTTTAAAAAGTAAACACTGCACAGAAACACGTACACACATACATATGTACATATGAGTACACTCGCAATAAAACATTAGTTATAGTGATTAGAGAAAATAAGTAAAAAAATATATATAATTGTGTATACTTAATAAGATTGAAATAATAAAGCAGTGAGTAACTGGTAAATATAGGAGAAAATACAAATTGTGTCAGCGAAAGCTATTGGGCACTTAATTTTATCAAAAAATGCTTATATGTACATAAATATGTATGTATGTATGTATGTACCTGCCTATGCTTCATGTAGATAAGAAAAATGATATAAAAGTGGAAGAACGGCGCTTTATAAATTTACGATACTTCGATAATCAGAAATACAATTAATCACATCAGGAAGTACATACATACATATATACTAAGGTGATTGACTTGGTTTTTCCTAACCGGTTTTTTTTTTAAATAATTTTGTGAGGGCTTTTTAAACTTGATTTTCAAATAACAAGTAAACCGGATGTTTACAATCGAATAATCGAATTGTCCAAGACCTTTACAGTGCAACGTATCGTTCGATAAATACAAAAATCAGAAATAAAAAAGACAAATTTTCCTGTGTTATTTTTATGGGAAATCTACAAGTGCGATGCGGACGTTCTTAATATTAATGTTATATGTGATAATTTATTCTTTTAATGAGCATTATTTTAATGCCAGCTGCTTCGTTTTATAAGAAATTTAGTTAGATGAAATAAATTACCTAGTATGAGATGAAAACCATATAAATCTAAGTACGAGCAACATGTTGCCTAACAATTTTCAGTGGCTTAGGGCCGTTTTCTCATCTAACCTTTAGTTTACCGGCCACTTTAT